GTACAACCTTATAAACCAACGAATTTACGCAGACAGCACCGCACTTGAATTACGGAAGACTGCAGTCTACCCCACACGTAATGGCGGCTACTTGATACGTACAAACCTTCCAAGTCATAAAATTTGGTCGAATTTCTTCTTAGTGAGATACACTTATTTGTGGAACAAACTACCCCTACAGATACGCATGTGTACAAGTCATGTCACTTTTCGAAATCTCCTTCAGACCTTCCTCACTATACCAAATGCTCTGAAGATATTTGACACACAACAAACACTAGAAACATTGACAGAAGTTGGTATAAAAAACATTTGATAATAGCTTACAGCTAGCTTACCCACTACACGTCATTACATACCATACCAAATCCTGTGTCTTTGCAGCCTAATAGTCCCTTCGTTTATTATCTACTCCTGACGATACAAACATCCGTAAATTTTACATATGAGTTGCGCGGGTCTAGGACTCAAGGAAAAGTAATCATGATCCGAAATGCTATTAGTAAACTTTTATTTAATGTTATAGAACGTGTTCGCTATACAAATGATCGCTCCCACTTATGAGGCCGTGTACCGCCCGTCGGTAAATATACAAATTTATTTATTTATTTATTTATTTATTTAAGTGGTAATTGTTCGTAGCCCTCGAACTACCGTCCAACCACACTCCTCCCAGTTTTATTCAAAGTAATGGAACGTATAATTGCAGAGGCACTCATGGGATATATTAAGAGCAACAACATCCTAGTGTCACAGCAACGCAGATTCTGCCGAAATCAATCCTGCACCGAAAATTGGCAACTAGCTCGAATAAGCTGGACAGAGTCAGCCGATGCCAGATTGGGAGTCGACGCTGTCTACCTGGAGTTCTCGAAAGCGTTCAATCGTCTGGATCACAACATTCGCCTTCACAAGCTTTGAAGTTATACAATCGGTGAACCTATACTCCGTTAGATCGGCAACTTCCTGAATGTCAGAGTCCGCAGCTCCATTTCCAACCCAATTGACCTCCAGTGTGGCGTGTCTCAAGGATATGCACTGGGGCCACGTTTATTCATAACAATCATTAACGATCTTGGCAGTGTACTGCAGTAGAATTTCTTACTATTTGCAGATGATATGAAAATTTGGCATGATATCAGGACATCGGATGATCAAATGGCTTTGCAGAGCGCTCTCGGCAGGGTTTGTGCGTGGTCATCCGACAACCGGCTCCAGTTCAAGCTGACCAAGTGCAATGTCATAAGCACATGCAATCAGGTAATCTCTGGATGTCGATTTGGGAACCAACAGTTACAACGTATTTCCCAAGAAAACGGCCTTAGGCTAATCGTACAGGACGACTTTGGTTGCTCGTGACAGGCCGAAAATGCAACAGAAATAACCAGTCAACATCTCGGGCTCTTACGGAGGGCTTTCGACAAATTTGAGCCATCAATCTTTTCGCAAATGTTGGACGCCCACGTGAGGCCGCATGTGTAATGTTATCCAGACTTGGCGTCCCTGGCTCAAGCGCGACGCCAATGCGCTTGAAGCTGCACAAGGTGGATCGACCAAACTCGTTAGTGGATTGTTTCATCTCTCCTACTAACGCAGACTGCAGTCACTGAGATTATACAGTGGTGAATATCGACCTCAGCGAGGAGACCTAATCATGGTTGCCTTAATACTGACGAACCCGATTCACACATGCTGCAGTGTGTTGCAGCTGAGCCGTAATACCAACCTATGAGGCCATCAGCTCAAACTGGCTACGCACTGCAGTCTACTTGATGGTCGACGAAACGTATTCTCCCTCCGTGTGTCCCGTGCCTGAAATGCCCTTCCGAGTCACCTTATCCTTGCCTCTACCTTGATGAAACGATTTCCAACTTGCATTACATGATATGGTCCGTTCCACTCGGAGGACGAAATAACGCAAACCTAACCACGTGCTTAACGGCTTTCTCCGCAACCTGGCGGTGAGGATACATGCAGATGTGTCCATGTGATTAGCCTGGATGTAGCTAAACTGGACTAACATACCACACCTGTCAAATGAAGCAACACACGAGTGAACGTTGTCGTTTCCTATTTCCTTTCTCATGCATTTACTGAACTATAACAGTTCTCAATGTTATTTTGTGTGTGCACACTCCATTCCTACTTCAAAATATCATTATGCATTAGTGCATTTAACTCGGTGGACGCTTGAAATAACGATTCACATATTCGAGGATCCCGCAAATTTTAATTTTCACTCTAACCATCCTACGGGACTTGTCATGCATATGCTTTTTTACTCGTGATAGACCATCGTTCATTGATAACGTGGGCAGGTGACTTCTCGAATGAGGGTTCTATTTTTCACTTTCTGCACCAAGTTCTCCTGCTCATGTATGTTGACTAGTGCGTTAGTCGAATTGTCCAAATCGACTCCATAGACTATTTTACTGTCATGTGTGAATACATATGGTTTACCGTCTTTGACGACATCAAAGACGTTGTTAATGTACATCAGAAGCAGAAGAGGCCCTTAAACCCTTCCTTGGATCACGTCACTTGTGACTTCGCTACTCGTGAAAGTATTGCTTAGTATTTCGACTGCCTGGTGCCGCCCAGGATTTAGCCACATGAACAGATTCTGCGATGTGATTGAATAGTTGCAGTTAGCATGAGTGGCAAGGACGATGTTTTATGTAACCATTATGTACCGAACAAAATTTCCTACACTGTTTCCTGTACAAGTTTTCCATAACTCTAAGTAGTATAGGTGTAAGGTTAGTTGAGTAACAGTTTGCATTTTTAACGCGGAACTATCTCAGCGTGCTTCCAATGAGTTGGAACGGAGCTAACTATCATGGGTAAGGTTAAGATGTTTTACGGCACGATAGGGAGATCGGGACCAGCACATTTTACGAGAACCGGAGGTATGTTAGTGTACTATCGTAAAAGCATAGCTGCAGAAAGCTCTGTAACATTTTATTTCGATACGAGTGAATTTCCTTGTCCCCAAAATATCGGTAAAACAAACATTTGATAGAGCGGCTAATATTGCCTGTGGGGCGCCATTAAAAGGTCAGCAGAAGGGCAGATGAAGAATATCCCAAATAACCGCGGGCTCTTCGGCTGAGACGGTTTCAGATAGGGTAATGGAGGAAATACCGAGAATCCAGAACTTCCCATACAGTTGAGTATCGTAAAAAGGTTCTTTTGTTTGTTTGGATGTGAAAGTGACTGGCGTTCCTCGGAAATGCGTTTTACAACTCGATGTGCTTCCACTGCTAAATATGTTGTGAAGTTGATGCAGATTGATTAGATCACAGTTTTCCTATAGTCACTGACTAAGGTGGTTCTTTTTTGTTTAATGATGACAAAAGTATTGCTGTTTTTTCATTTCTACGATCCTTTGCTTTACATGGGCAAGCATGCCTCGTCATTTGTTTATATTCCGATAGAAAGCTTCAACTACTATTTAGGGTCACATGTAAGAATGTATTCGATTGATTCGATCTAAGCAATGTTGCGAATAATTCCAAGTCAACCAAGCCAACCTGCAAAATTCGGCCTTACTGTTTTAGTTCACCTTAAGTTGAATACCACAAGTTTCTGATCATTACCTAGAAGGCTACCAAGGACTGTGACTTTTCCATTTGGGTAACCCGAAGTGTAAGTTTGTTCTAGGATGTCGGTGGAACCCAACCGTGTGAGCAACTATTAGGAGCAAATTCAAGCAGCCTGTTTGTGAGGTGTAAATGTGCCAATTAATTTCTGGTATATTGAACTCGTCTCCAACAAACTTGTAGTTATCTATGCGCTCCGAAATGTAGTCAAGTAATGCGGTAAGTCATTTACTAATGATGTTGTTACAGTTTGGCGGATTGTAAGTAAACCCAATGGGGAGGTCTCAAGTATTCATCACGGTTGTGGTCCATACTGAGTCAGCTACGTGTTCAATTTTTGGTTTAGTTAAAGGCGACAATGAATCATTTCATCAAAATAACTGGAAGGCAGTGGTGTGAGCCCGCTATTATCCGTTCGTATTAGTGCATAAGGGTATCTATAGCAGATGGAGTTCACAAAATTACAAAGCGCCCTGAGTCGGTGTGGTGGCTTACTTTCGCAGAACGCTAGCCGGTGACGGTTAGTCTTCACATAGTGCGAAGGAATGCTTATGTAGTTCCATTTGAGGGAAAGCTATTTGACAGACCGAAATTGCTCTGGTTTACCTGTTTTTAATGTACAACATTTTAAACAATAGTACCATTACATTACACAATTAGGCGATTGGGACTAAATGTTGAACTATATGCTGAGTTCGTTCGTTTGTTTGTATCCAACATCGTCTTTTACAACCACAGTCTGAGGACCCGCTAGATTTCCGCACCACACCCATCCAGTACCTATCCTTGAGGGTTTAGAAGTTCGCTGTCATGCCGGACCCAGCTCATAAGGATAAAATAAGATTCTAGTGCGATTACGGCCTGCAGTACATTTTCACTATCAGCCTTACTGTTGATTTCGTGCATGTAATGAGACCAATCAACAAGTCGAATGTTCAAACGTTAAGTAGAACAACATTTTGAGTGATAGAAGAAGTCTGATCAGATTAATTGGAGACACATTTCGATGTGATACACATATCATTTACTTATAGCATTCTCAATAGATTATTGGATCTTCACCAATGTTATTTTCTTCAATTGAACTTCCAGCCCGCATGGGCACTGTCTCGTCAAGGGAGTTTAGTCAAGCGTAGCCAGTTCTCTATGCCGCATATACACGGGTTGGCAGCGTACCAGTTCCACTTGGACTTGTTAAGCATTGCGTTTATACCCGTAATAGACTACTACACCACTGGACATAGTGACGGCACTCTATTGACACCAAGATCATTTAGGTCACCTATGAGGCGTAATTCATGGACTTGCGAACTGTCAACAAATTTTTGAGTTGAATTCGCACGCTGTGCTGACATTGATATACCATCTAACAATTCACGCTATTCTCACAATCGCCAGGCTCGTCTCATCTCAAGATACGGAGGAACCGCGTGGCCATTCAGTTTCATCCTACCACACGATATCCCCTCGTCAATCATCCTGTACTCAGGTGCTGGGGCGGCGCGAGGTGATCGACCATGCGGAGTCGAGTACACACTTCAGGTAAGTCTACTCTGGATTGACTTTCTCAGTTTCCATCACAAACAATGCTTCATGGACAATTGGTGATCATCTGGATGACTCATTTGAAGTGAAATTGTAATGAAGTCACACAACTCTAATGGTTTTGCGACCCGGCGGAGTAGTGAACCACGTAGGCTGGTGATGAATAGGTAGAATAAAGAGGTGGACTTGCTATGCCACTTATGCACACGGACAGGTACAGGTTATGCCGGAAGTTCTCATGACAGCGACCAATTAGTCGATAACCCGCAAATTTATTACCTAGTTTGCACATTGGTACAGCCGGTGTCCAGGCGTGTTTCACGCCGTACGGCCGCACTCTAACTTGGCTCTGGTTGGGCCTCCTGTGGTCATTCTAATTCTCCCCATAAAATATGGTGCATGGTCCTGTACGAACAACTTCGACGAACGCTACTCAGTGCTTCCCACCACTTGGATCTAACTTTTCTGGATCATACTCATGCTCCAGTTCTCAGTTTTGGCACTTTCCTTTTTGCATTCTACGTACTTTTCGGAGAATTTGGTGGTCTCTTTCGGAAGAAGAACCTGGAGACTCTCAAACTACCCGGCAACCATGACGGCAAGTTGTAGCCAAACGAAGTTACGGTCATTATGCCTTGCTCATCTACTAAACATCGCATCCGAGACACTTAGGAATGCTTATCAGCGCCACACTTGTAGTGTCGCGGAAGGCAGGCCGATCAATACACGCTGCTGCTTCATGTTGGTGGGTGCGTGTGACAGCTAGGCTACAGATCGCTGAATCAGGCATTCTGCTTGCGACTGCGAGTGAGAGAGGGGGTGAGACATCTAGCTGTTTAGGCTGACTGATGTTGACACGGGAACAACCAAAATAGAATCAAGCGGTGGATAACTTTAAACTCGTGTGCGTGTTTTACCCAATTTGTTTATCACGGGCACGCCTGGCTCACCGAACAGTCATAAACTTGAGCACCATTACCATAGCAACGGTTAGGTGAACCATCGCTACAAACGACAACCGTGTAGATTGTATACCAAACCTGGTGCAACATTGGGTATGCGATTCATGGAATTACGGTCAAGTCCTTAAGATCGGATTAACCTGTCCTAGTTGCATTGGATGCTATCATACACCATGTACAGACAAATCCGTCCAAGAAATGAAACAGATAAATAAAATTGTTGACAGATTTTAGTTTTGTCCAGCATGTGAATTTATTCCAGTTATCAACTGTTTATATTTGCTTATGAAAAATGCGATAGGGTCTTTGAGCTAATCGTACATTTAGTGAATACTAAGAGCGCTCCCTGGGATGTAAATATGGCCACGCTGATACCTCAGCAAACCAACGTTAGCTTCGTCTCTACACTGAAGAAGAGAGCCGGACGCTCCTACCGCACTGTGGAGTCTGTCTGTAAATCCTCTGGGTTACCTCACTCCTATAAGCGGATAAGCTTTAAACATGTCCGATTCCCCTCCTCCAACCATGGACACTTCACCTAGTGATTCAGCCACGATACCAAAATCTCAGAGCAGAAAGCAATCCGGTGCAGAAAACAAGCGGGTAATGTTTGCATTCGTCGCCTTAATAAACACACCAGGAGCGACACACGTAGGCCCATCTTCTGTACCAAGCCCACCTGGGGCTAGGCACCTTTCAACGCCAACTCCAGTGGCGCCTTCTAAACAGCCCGAATTGCCGTTAACAACAGTAAAACAGACACACACTAGACAGAAGGACGCTGCGTTTACGTTCGTGTGCAATAACGTTCCTGAATCCAAAGCTGACGCAATAACAGTTAAGTTGCTAGACGATCGCAACCAGTGGCATTCCATCTGCAATGCGATTAGTATTCGGGTTGAGCCCGCTCTGCTGATACGCGTTGCGCGTCACCCGACCTCAGTGCAGTCTGGTGACCCTCAAATTCTTCGAGTAACACAGAACTCAACAAAGGAGACAGGGGCTGCCCTACTTTCAGCACTTCATCTTCACAACTCAACGAGCGTAGTGCGCATATTACCCTAGCTTCATTAGATAGATCGCCTTATATAGTGGGATAACGAACGCGGCGTTCCTATTAGCGATAACTTGAGAACCATATTTGTTCATCACGTTCCCGAACTATTGGATACTTCCCATCACAATGCATAGACGCATGACAAATAAATAAATAAATTGTATATGGCTCGACGATGCGAGAAGCCGTTCCCAGAAGGGACGGATCAAATAATGGTACAGCAGTTTCATATCATGGTATAATAAATTTTAAAATAATGTGAGCACAAAATGAAAATTTGTATAGCGCGAAGCGGTCCAGAATATTTACATTCCTCTTGTTCTATCGTCTGACAAGTTTTTAGCAGTCACATGAGAGTTGATCGCACACGAGAAAAAAAGAGAATAAAGTGCTGCGGGCCAACAAAATATAACCACTTGTGCACTTGATCACATGCATTTTCAGGCACCATTAACTCCGTTCTCAAAAGCGTTATCTAAGGACTGTGCTGTTCGAAACATTATTATCACATTTTGAACGGTTAAATAATCTTTTATCGAAAGCTTAAACAAACGCAATGTGCAACAAGTTCTGATAGCTCTTGGAAGTTTGTTCCAAAGCTTTGAGCAGTGTAGTAAGAAGAAACGCTCCCTAATTCGCGTATTGAACTTTGGAATCATGACCGTTGTCTCCTTATTTCGTAGCTCGTATCTAGTGTTAACGGCCATATGGACACAGTTAGCATAATTGTGCATGTGATGGTGAATTATTCTGTACAGGAAACACAAGTTCATCTTCATTATCCGTAGCCAAATTTGGTCAAGTCCAAGTTTTTCACTGCGCTCTCTGTAGGTCATCTTGGAGGAATATCCGCACAGCTTCTTTGTAAAGCGTCGCTGTACCCTCTCAAGAGCATGTTGGTCAGATTTCCGCAGATTCGACTGTATTAGTGAGCAGTATTCTATGCCAGGTAACACATATGTTTTATAAAGCCTGATATGAGATTCCGTGAGTCGAAATTTATGACAGATATAGCCAATAGTCTTCATGGCTTTCGAAACTTGGAAGTCACAATGTTCCGAAAAGTTGAAGGTAGTGGAATACCGTACACCCAAGTCGCGAATCACTTTGCACTGTGATATAAACGTGCCTTGTAATAATAGACTATCTGGTGGAACTTCGCATCTGTACGACAGAATATTACATTTGTCCACGGAAAAGGACATCTGCCACAGTTTGCTCCAGGATTCAAGTGCCGATAGATCTTCCTGAATGTGGCACAAGGCTGCACGGGTATCTGCACGTTCTTGTGAGTAGACGATTTTAATGTCATCAGGAAACAGAAAAGTATCACCATGTCTTATTCTATGAAATACATCGTTGACGTAGAGGAGAAAAAGAAGTGGACCAAGTACACTTCCCTGAATTACTCCACTGGTGACTGCTTTCGGTTTAGAGACACGGTCCCCAATACGCACCACCTGATGTCTGTCAGCTAGGTATGACGACAATGATGCTACATCCGCGAAGCACTATCCCTGAACAATGTCATTGTCAAATCGTTGTTAAGAGTTCCATTATCACCTAACAACAAGGGCTGCAGTCCAAGATTAATGAAAGTAGTATTACACTCCGAAGGAATGACGCAAGTTCTATTGGATAACTGGTCAAAGTTTTGAGTCAGGTTGCCAACCGAGATTCATGTAGAGGCAGCAAGCGCACGCTCACGAGTGGTTGTCAATTCCATGGAACTTGCAACTGCCGTAACTTCTTTGATTGCACAGCCTTGCAGAGAGATCGACACAACACCACGCACGTCAAACACCAGGGCAGAGCGTAGCACAAGTGAAACTTCTATTCAGGAACAATCTACGATACTATGCAACTTGGCTGGAACTTATAAACCAACAAACGAATAAAGACCGGCCACCTAACGGTCAGCTTAAAAAGAAGCACAATTTTGACATCCAGTAATACACTCGTAACAACAAAAACACTATCCTGTTTGTAGACAAACGCCCACGGTGTTTTTAGTAAGTTGGCCGAACTTAACGAATTCCATGCTTTACAACCGCTGGACCCCCTCATTATTACTGAGACCTGATTAAGCGCCCAGATAACCGATACTAAGATCAATTTACCCGGTATGTCGCCGCTTTGGAACGACAGAAGTGGAAGGGGTGGTGATGTGACTCTTTATTATAATACAAACCTCCGATGTGGAGTTATTGTTCACCTGGAAATCAACGCCCCGTATTCGCTCTGGTGCCGTGTATAGTTGCGGAAAAATGATGCATGTCTACTGGTCTTAATTTAACGCCCACCAAACACTACGTCGAAAACAGACTCCAAAATGGAGCACGTATTTTAGGTTGCACTGTACAAGTTCTACAGCTAGATCTTTTTAGTTAGAGACTTCAATGTGCATGACATGGGAACTCCAGCTACAGACGGGGCGCGGCTTAAAGCCTGATTGCAAGAGCCAATTGCTAGCCAGCCTCCGTACAATTACGTAAGCTCTCCCACCAGATTGCGAACTGCTAACAAGCCGTTGTGCTCATTAACGAAGCACCCACGATTGACGGGATAGTTACCAGTAGGCCAACGGGTCGCAATGACCATGTAACTATTCATTGAATATATATACTATGCGGAATATCCTGAAAAGGAGGATGCTAAAGCGCATACTGACACACTAGAAGCCATTATATTGTGCAACCAAAGTAATATTTTTTATAACGGAAATGCCAATGTCCCTACCTTATAGCATACCGTCCACCGATTGTAGAAATGTGTTGAACAATGAACAGTGATTTATTCCGCGTAAAAAATCACTCGCTTGACAAGCCCTGCCGGATGGTGGGGGCAAAACTACAAACTTTACACTACTCACGAGCATCCAAAAATTAATCTACCATCGCCCATTGGACATTTGAAGGACAGGTACTTCGGTCTATTGGGAAGTGACGGGTGAGTGAGCCAATGTGCAACATCAGGAC